CCAGCGAAAACATGTTGAGGTCGGTTCGTAAGAAATTCGTTAACCGAATTTTTGTTCGTTAACCGAATTGAAGATTCTTATGGAAGGCAGTTCGTTAACCGAAATTTCGTTAACCGAGGGATCACTGTATTGCCCTGTACATATAATTTGAATTTGATTTCTGCATTAAGTTTTCTGGGGACTCTGCTTCAATATTCATAAACAATTTGTACACTGCCAGTCCCAAGGAACACATAGTCTATTTATACAGTCGACTACACAGCAGTCCCCACTCCTATATAATAAGTTCTTTTGTCATCAGATACTAATAAATATTGTCAATTCACAATGTTCTTGAAGAGTACAGAGTTTTACAAGTTATACATTTACAGTACAGTTTCTTTACCAAGCATATTATAAATCAATTAATCATTTAAAATCCACAATATTGGAATCACTAAATTACATTTTATTTACGTTGAAGACCTCCAGATGGCTGAACCTACTACTGCCTGATCCTCGAAACCAATTTTTGTTATACAGAAGGTCTATGTCCATTGAAGATTAAATTATGTAATGGATATTTCTTGGAGCAGGCAGCTACAACAACACCTTTCCATCACACAATTTCCTCCCAACAATACAGGCATTTGGTTTATCTTACCTTTGGACTTCACCTCTACTACAATACAACATAACCAAAGGAAAAATGAAGTTTCAGCCATGATTGAGTTTCTATAAACTAGGTGGGCATGATACAGTTTATTAACATGAGTTTTAATTATAACATTATGATTTTAACTTTCTGAAAGCTGGATAAACCACGAAAAATACAATGCATTAGGATTTACGAATTATATATGTTGCAGCAAAGCAAGATGGTAAGGCTTAGGAAGTTTGCTGGATACAGATTATTCTATCACCATTTCTAAATATCACTGGGTTCTACACACCCAGTTTTATTCAAATCCTTTGCACTTGTTAAGAGTTGTCACACACACATGCATGCACACGCACACACCATTGTAAAAATTATCAATAACTTGTAATCAACCAGTGAATTCACTCCCAGTCAATCTTACTTTTTGCACTGTCACTATGTTGAAATGCCCTGTAGTTTGAGCTTCTCCCCACCTAGTTATTATATATCATATTTGTATCACTTATGTTACTTGTATATTATTTGTAAATCAAGAGACCCATTCCCCAATTATGTAACTGTATATTTTCAGCCTTCCGGCTGCCATGCTCTTTCAATAAACCGTTAATTATTATTATTATTATTATTATTATTATTATTATTATTATTATTATTATTATTATTATTATTATTATTATTATTATTATTATTATTATTATTATTTTTATTATTATCACACACCCACACATGCCTAACACTTCCTGTTCCTCCCCAGCAATTATTACTGTACTGTATGGTATTTACTCTACTCTGGAGTGAATATACAAACTAATTTCCTTTAACTATAGTACTAAAAACAAAACAAAAATTATCCCTATTCGGCAAATACATTAACTGCATTTTAATGCTTAACTGGATAATTATTCTTATTTAGTGTGAACTATATACAGTAAAAGTCCAAAAATCCGGACCACCCGAGAATCCGGACTTTTAGGCAAGTCAATTTTTTTTTTTTTTTTTAGCGGGCTTTTGTGTGTATGTGCGCATGCGTGAGTGCCACAGCTGCACAGTGACAACAAGCGACCACGCGGTCGCCACTTTAAAACGAGCAATCAAACTGTGACAACATATGTAATTTTGAGTCCTACTCTTTTCATTTACAGAGTACTGTACTGTACAAGCCCATAATAATGGCTCCTAAAGTAGATAAACTTTGTTGTGTGAAGAGAATGAAGAACATGTTGAAATTGAGTGACAAACTTGAAATTGTTAAGAAACTAGAACATGGTGTGAGCAATACTGTTCTAAGGGAAACATACGACATTGGAAAATCTACAATTTATGATATAAAAGAGGCAAAGAATAAAATTCTAGAATTCACTGCTTTTTCCTTAAAACTGCTTGTTTTGATAAATGAAGCATGCTATATATGCTAATGAATAAACTATCAAAATGTACCTGTTCATCTCTTCTTTATTCCTCCTTAAATTTGAATTTTAAAAGTACTGTACTGCCTGAGAATCCGGAAAATCCAAAAATCTGGACCAACCCAATCCCCAAGCAGTCCGGATTTTTGGACTTCTACTGTAGTACATAAAAAATTTAATTAATATCCTCCACCGCTTCAACTGGCACATTAACCATTGCCAATTTAATTTAATGCCTGTCACCTCTTCAGCTCACACTGTTACCACAACCAATTTAATGAAGTGCCCATCACCAACTCAACTTACACAATTATCATTGTCACTAAGCTTAAATACAGTGTACTACCCACCACCAGTTTAACTCAAACAATTACCACTCACAAACAAAATTGTACAACTGCCTGTATCTTTATAATTTCATTGATTGTTCATAACAACATACGGTATATAAGTTAAACAAGAAAAAAGAATGAGAAATGGCCACAAACATCCATAATAATTACCATATATGCTTGTGTACAGTATAAGCCTAACTTATGTATAACCTGACCCCAGACTTTTTGCTAAAATTCATAGCCTGATTTTATCATATACAGTACCTTGTGTATAATTCAACCCTAGACTTGAGAAATACAACGTGTAATCCTCAACATATTTTGTAGCAAGACACCAGATTCTCACCAATGTGTCTTGACCCTGATCACCACCACAACAGCTGATGCTATAAAGTGTAAACAATTCTGAAACTGAATTCCCGCCAGTTACCAACTCCTCCTTAAAAATTTCATTAGATCCACTGTACACTATAACATCAAAACTTAAAGCGTTGCAAAAAAAAAACATATAAATAGCAATAATGAAAGAATAATTTTTTTTTTTTACAAGTTGATGTACAGTAGCTAAGAAACAACTATCTGTGCATAGTTTGTGGGAAACAATATGAGAACATGGATGATAAATTTTGGTATATGAGGGCTGTCACTAGTCGCACATATAATTTCGGAGCATATCGACCCCCACCTGCACAGATAGTTGTTTTAGCTACTGTACTCACTCCATCCCAGTCTCAAGAACACTGGCCATTTGGTCTCGATGCTTGCCTTAGCAACATAGCTATGCTGCCCCTGTCTACCACAACCAATGGTGCTCCCACACTCTGCTGACCTCCTCCCCCACTCAGTATACTAACTCTAGCATATGAAGAAATATTATTCTCTTTATATTTTTTACCTTATGATAATTATTTCTTTTGCTTTTTATTTATTTTTGCACTTTCTGTATGTCGAATTGCATGTGCATACAACTGAGTAAATAAATAATGAGTTGAAAAATAACCATAACATAGCTCACAGGTGGGAAAACAGTTGAAAATTTCCCAGTGATGTTAACAGATGCAAACGGAAAGAAGATTATCTGTAAATATTCATTTGTATCAGGTATTTGTAGATTCAAAGTGGCAAAGTGTACTGAATGAAGTTCTGCTGTTCATGTAGTGACAAATAGAAATAAACTAGGGGTTTGGTAGGCAAGCCTAGAATAATGGGGCTTACTGGAAATGTTTACCTACCACAAGCATGTACTGTACCGGGTAGCTATTGTTCACCATAATGCATGCATGAAAATGCACTAATTTTAACCCCTCAAAAATAATACATGTATATAGTCCGACCCCCTACTTTTCGCATAAAAATTTGATCACAAAACTATACTGTACTCAAGTATACTGTATACGCAAAACCTACAGTGCCCCCCAAAAATTTTGTGTTTACTGTACTGTAATAGGTTCTCAGTACCACATAATAGCTATATGGGTAGAATTGAGTTCACTGGTAAAGATGTTGACCCAAGGCTGAACATCTTTATTAATCTTACACAATAAAAATAACTAGTCAAACTATGAGCAATATTCTATTAGTTACAAAGAACTAGGAAAATATTGCTCATATAGTTCTCCCTGGTGATTTATGAATGATTTTTATGGTGAGTTCAATGGATAGGAAGAGGAGATAAGGATGGTGGTACTGTACTAATTCGTGCACTACTGTAACCATTTTATTATTTATTATGTATTCATTAAACATTTAAATTTCAAACAATTCACTCTGGTGATGACACAAACCATAACTTAGTGGAGCAGGAAGTGACAGGGAACAAGAATAAGGTTAAGTTAGAAGAACAATGTGAGAGAACATGAATATGAGAAAGGTGTGCTAGTTTTAATGTTTGTACGAGTGTCCTAATGTTACAGTGGATCACAAAGGCCCTGCGTGAATCATCCTAATGAACAACAAAACTATGAGGGAGAAAGACGAATGAGCAGACAAATGTTGTCAGCAAACTTCAATGAAATTTACCAACACAGCATTATTCATCACTAGAACCATACACTGTTATATTTCTATAGCTTAATCATACTTTACATTTGAATGTGGCCATTTCTCTTAAAAGACGAGTGGGTGCTTACCTTATTTCAAAAACCATATCTGTCAATATGACTAAGTTAAATGCTAACCTAGATATGCCACACCCTTTTGAAATGGATAGCTTTCTCAAGTTATGGAATTAGTCAGACAACAGTTTAGAGAAAAGGAGGTGAATAATACTTGTAATACTTTAATGAATAGATGTGTTGGCAACTTTACTTACCAGTAGAATCAAATCCCATTCTTCAAAACTTATTTATTATGAGATTATTTAAGGTAAACAACTTCTCTGATGGCATAATTTGGTAAAATATCATATTACTGTACTAATGTTGAAGGAACAATTATTTCTCCCTAAGGTGCAAACTCGAAAATCAGCATGAAATTATAAGCATATAAACATACAGTACTGCACTGCATATTTATCAAGGAGAAATATTTATATTAGTAAAAAGTTATTAAAAAGGGGTTAGTACTGTAGGTGCATATTTGTGCATATTGTAAAAATACTGTAATGTTTCAACTGTATACCTTCTGGAACACAGCAAGTCTCATAACATTTTTCATGGCCTTAAAAAGAACTTCAAGAATCTCAAAGTCATTTGTGTCCAGGCCATATGCAGCTTTAATAGCTTCGATGATACTGTTGGCATGTTGGGCAATGTCGGTTGGGATACATCGATGACCAACTGTAAAAAGTTCTGGATAATTAGAAGCTTGGTCTAATATTCTTTAAGGCACAGTTATTTAACTTTTAAAAATAACTGTAAAAATAAGACATATAGATGGAACAAAACAAGACATACAGATGGAACAAAACAAGACACATAGAAGTAACAAAACAAGACATTTAGATGGAACAAAAATTTTGAATAAACACAAACTCAACAATCATAAGATGTTAATCCTTTAGGCAAGGGGTTCCAAACCTCCCCCCCCCCTCCAAATTGCCCCAACCCATGGATCAAGCATGTGTCAAGGGAAAGCAATGTTTGGATAGGTCAGGGGATTAATGTGGTCATTTTTCTGAAGTCAGATAAGCACTTCCAGTATGTGAGGTCTGGGTAGGTTAGGTAAGTTACCTGAGGTAAGACTCTCCTGACCCTACACCTCGGTGGTTTGACAACACCGGGAAAATTAGATCAGGTCATATAGAGCAGACCATTCACCCAGCTACTTTAGTTCTGTACAAGATGCCATTGTGACAATGACCACTTCTTTTTTTTACATTTAGTTACTTACCCTGTTGGAATACTTTAGGTTATAAGGTAAGAAGAGTTTTTTATTTGATTTAAAGATACAAACATGATTTTGCTGTTGTACCATGATTTTTTATCAGGTTTTTTGTGTCACAGCTCTGTGATTTTATACTAAGACAGTGCACTAATTTCTTGGTACTGTCTTTTAGATCATTATCTTTTTATTTTATGGTGATTTGATAAACTATGCTGCCAATGTCATGGTACCATGATTATACAGTAGATTGTTATAATTAGCAGCAGAGCAGGTCATTGAGTTGATCCTTCCCAAACAGTGTGGTTGACAAAAACATCACTCATATGCCCAAGATTCAACTTTAAAAGAATATTTTTGCAGATTAGCCAATGTACCATATTTGGACTCCTCATATCTGCATTGCTAAAACTAAGCAAAATTTTGTCCTGTACAGTATTTTATTCACCCACTATAAATGGTAAAGGTTACAAGATGGAGAATTCAAGGACCAGATTAAAAAAATCATTAAATTGAAAACTTAGGTGAAAAAGCCATCTGGTTTGAAATTAGGTCTCAAAAGAAAAACCAAGATGATGGACTTGAGGATTTGCTCAAACACACTGATCTGTTTCCTTCTCAATTCAACAAGTAGTTATTACTACTTGACATTTCCACTGACATGTGCAGTGAAGAGATCATTTAGCACATGGATAAAAATCTGTTCAACATCAACAATATCAGATGATTGTTTGGAAAAGTAATAGATAAATTTGGACAGGATCTAAGACATTTGCAGTTACCATATTATTCAACAGGAAGCTCTTGGGAAGTACAAGAGGCATAAAAATTACGTAAAGAATGTGTAATTTTTCCTTAACACCTCCCTATTTCTCAATTGCAATTTTCATGATTCTTGTTCTATTATTTGGTATGTAGAGGTACTCCTCGACTTACGACCTACCGTATATACTCATCTATAACCCTCCCTCGTTTATAGGTCGACCCTGATTTTTTGACCGAGAAATCGTTAATGTATGATATTCATCGCTTATAGGTCGACCCAAGTTTTTGAAACCTGAGGCTCGCCGTGCCTGAAACACCGAGTGCCGAAGACAAATTTTTTACCATTTATTATTATGACACTTTACACTGAAACGCGAGTAGTTTCAACAAAAATATTGTATATTTCAATTCAAGTATTTATTCAAGTCAATTAGGAAGGAATATTATTGCAATACAACAGTTTTTTAACTGAAAACCATTCAAAAAGAGATTACAGTAACATCCTTTGAACGAAAGAAAGCGAAAGTCATTGTTTTTGTCACGATTTTATCCCACTTTCCACTGTAATACGTACGTCATTTCAGCAAAAATATTACATTTCCGTGAATGTATTATATCAAGCACAGTATGAATAGAATATCATTAATATAACAGTATTTTAACTGAAAACTATTAAAAAAACGAGTAACATCTCTTGAACATAGGAAGGTTAGGTAAAGTGTTTTGTTTTCGTCATGTAGTTTAATCTAATTTACATTGAAATACATAAGAACATAAGAATGGAGGAAACTGCAGCGGGCCTATTGGCCCATACTGGGCAGTCCCGTTTATACCTAACCCCTATTGCTCATATAAGCATCCAACCTATGTTTGAAGCTATTCAGCGTATTCGAGTTAATCATGATATTTGGTAACTTGTTCCATTCATCCACTACTCTGTTTCCAAACCAGTGTTTACCTATTTCACGCCCATATCTAAATTTGTCTAATTTAAAACCATTGTTACGAGTACGCTCCTGGTTGGATAGTTTGAGTACCTTTGTAATGTCCCATTTGTTTAGCCCTGACTTCCACTTATACACCTCTATCAGGTCGCCCCTCGCTCTACGTCTCTCGAGGGAGTGCAAATTAAGATGCTTTAACCTGTCTCTATACTCAAGGTTCCTAATGCCCGGGATTAGTCTTGTCATTCTCCTCTGAATTCTTTCCAATGATTCTATATCCATTCTGTAATACGGTGACCAGAACTGAACTGCGTAATCCAGGTGTGGTCTCACAAGCGCAAGATACAGTTTTAGGATGACCTCGCTAGTCTTGTAACTAACACTCCTTTGTATGAACCCAAGTACTTTATTAGCCTTGTTACGAGCAAAAACACATTGTTTACTTGGCTTAAGGTTCCTACTTATCATTACTGAGTACTTTACATTTGTCCATTTTGAATTTCATCTGCCATTTCTCAGACCATTTGAAAAATTTGTTTAGATCTTCCTGTAGTTTTGCGGAGTCCTCGTCAGATTTAATAACACGTCCTATTTTAGTGTCATCAGCAAATTTACTTAGGTATGTTGCTGTCTATGCCGATATTTATGTCGTTTATGTATATAATAAATAATAATGGTCCAAGTACTGAGACTTGGGGAACTCCACTTGTGACGTTGCTCCAATGGGACTTAGTGCCGTTAATGCTCATTCGCTGTTTCCTGTCCTGTAACCACGCCCTAATCCATTTAAGGATGTTACCTTTGATGCCATGTGCTTCTACCTTTCTAATTAGTCTTTCGTGGGGGACTCTGTCGAAGGCTTTGCTAAAGTCGAGATATACCATGTCATAATTGTGCCCCTCGTCCACCGATTCGAAAACTGATGAAAAGAATGTTAATAGATTAGTTAGACAAGAACGTCCGCTTGTGAAGCCATGCTGGGAATCATTGATCAATCGGTGCTTCTCCAGGTGATTTCGAATAGAGTTTGAAATGATTGCTTCCAGTAATTTGTCTACTATTAATGTTAGACTGATTGGGCGGTAGTTAGAGGATAGTGATCTATCCCACTTCTTGAAAATCGGTATTACATTCGCTATCCTCCAGGATTCTGGTACTACACCTGTTTTAAGGACATGTTAAACAACTTTGCTAAGGGCATACTAAGCTCTTCCTTACATTCCTTTAATACTCTGGCAAATATCTCATCGGGACCAGGTGACTTATTAGGCTTTAGTTTGTCTATTTGCTTACTAACATCGTTACTAGTCACTACTATCTCGCTTAATTTGTTTTCTTCACTATCGGTGCCTCGGGTATCATGTTTAAATTTTCGGTGGTGAAAACTGTTGAAAAATATTTATTCAAATTATTGCTCATTTCTCCGTCGTTATCAGTTAGCTCGCCAGTATCTGACTATATTGGTCCAATCTTTTCTCGTGTTTTAGTTTCATACATTTGGTAGAATCCTTTGGGGTTTGTCTTCGCCTCCCTAACCTAACCTCCTTACCTCATTATTCCTCTTGGCTTTCCTTATCACGTTTCAGCAAAACTACTATTTATTTCTGAGAATAAGGAAATGAAATATTTTTGCTGAAATGACTTACGTATTACAGTGGAAAGTGGGATAAAATCGTAACGAAAACAATGACTCGCTTTCTTTCATTCAAAAGATGTTACCGAAATCGCTTTTCGAATGGTTTTCAGTTAAAAAACTGTTGTATTACAATAATATTCTATCCTAATTCACTTGTGATGTAACAGTTTTTTAACTGAAAATGATTAAAAAAACACGTGTACCGTCTAGCTGATACGGCAGAGCCCTGGTCGCGGAGGCTTTGTTTTTGCATCGGCCCTTCTTAAGCAGCCTTTAATTTTAGCGTACGTTAAAATTGTGTTTACCGGTACATTCTTATTTTCTTGCTTCTTATTTTCCAGAAATATGACAAGTTTGTATATAATACTGTACAATGTTACGGCACTTTTAATTTACAAGTATTCATTTTTAAAAAAAAAAGAAGACACCAAACAAATACCAGTACGGATATTTGCGTGACTCTCCCGCCAAAAAAGACCAAACAGCTGGTACTGTCTCCCTCAGTCCTACCAAAAATAGCCCAATGACATCTTTCTTGTTTATTCTCTTCCAATTTCTCATTTTAACTGGTATTTTCTACTTCATATTGCCTACATCAGATAAACTACAGTAATTGAGGTTAGACACTGTTATAAATTTGATTACAGGGTACTGGCAGGATGCCATTAGAACCACCTGACTTTACCAACAGTGTTGCAATTCAAACACAGCATTTTTTTTTTTTTTTTTGGTGTCTCCATTTCTGTAATTTTTTTTCTGTGGGGGTTTGCACAATAGTAAACTGTTTTACCTACAGTATTGTAAAACGATATGGGAAAAGAAATACTCGGTAGCTTAAAATTTTAAACGGAAAATCTTGAAACTGGCAATTGTGTGTAGATGACCTGACTCACATCACATTATGATTTTGATGGATTTTAATGAAAATATTCAGAAATATGGTATCGTAGTATTTATTCAAGTGAATTAGGATAGAATATTATTGTAATACAAGAGTTTTTTAACTGAAAACCATTTGAAAAGCGATTACGGTAAAATCTTTTGAACAACGAAAGAAAGCGAAAGTCATTGTTTTTGTCACGATTTTATCCCACTTTCCACTGTAATACGTACGTCATTTCAGCAAAAATATTAAATTTCCATATTTATTTCTGAGAATATATTCATTCGGTCACAGTTAAGGTAAAATATACTTGTGATGTAATATTTTAATGAAAATATTTAGAAATACGGTATCGTAGTTTTCTTTTATTTCAAATATAGTTAACAAAGAATAATGTTTCAAATTTAATGAACAAAAATTTATGTATCTATAAATAAACTTTTAAAAATGAATACTTTATGTTTTACATCGCCCTGTGGTACCATACCATGCATTTGGCTACTTTGGGCTTGCTATGATGATGCAAGACATCTGCCCTGGCAACTGTACCGACACTCACAGCTGGTGGTGCATCGTTTCCATTGTTTACTGCAGTTACTGGTAAATATTTTTCAACCTAACGAAACTATTACCTGCTTAGAGGTTGACCCCCAATTTTTGGCCAAAAAATTTGGTCTTAAAAACTCGAACTACACACGGGTATATACGGTACTCGACTTACGATCGCCGCAGTCGTGTAAAATATTTTTCAAATTACAGTGGGGCATGCTATAACGAACGGATCCTACTACGAATATTCCTATAACGAACGGTTTTACCTATAAAATTGAGAATGCTATAACGAACGCAACTCCTTCAACGAACGCGGATGAATACGGGACTATTTCGCCTGGCGCATGAATATTGTTGTTATACAAGTGTACAATTGTGACAATGAATCGTCCAAAGCGAGTGAGAAAGCTCATAACTCTTGAAACTAAGAAAGAAATCATAAAGAAACGTGAGGATGGAACAAGCATTGCGAAACTTAGTGATGAGTATGGGATGGCTAAATCGACTATATGTACGATTTTAAAGAATAAAGAGGAGTTGAAAACTGTGCAAGTGGCTAAGGGAATCTCTAGACTTAGCAAAGCAAGGTGTAATGTGATTGAGGAGATGGAAAATTTACTCTTAGTGTGGATAAAGGAGAAAGAAATGGCAGGTGATAGCATTAGTGAAGCTATAATTTGTGAGAAGGCCAGACAATTGTTTGAGGACCTTAAAGCCAAGACTCCCAGTGCAAGTGATAGTGATGTGCCAGTGTTTAGGGGTACCAAGGGGTGGTTTACTGGTTTCAGAAGGAGAAATAAATTACATAGTGTTGTGAGACATAGTGATGCTGCTAGTGCAGATAAGGAAGCAGCTAAGGAACACCATGACATTTTTTTGAATGTTATTAAAATGGGAGGCTTTGTTTCTCAGCAAGTATTCAACTGTGATGAAACTGGACTCTTTTGGAAAAAAATGCCTCGCCGTACATACATTACCAAGGAGGAAACATCTGTCCCTGGCCATAAGCCAATGAAAGACAGGCTTACCCTCCTTCTTTGTGCTAATGCTTCTGGTGACTCATTGTGTATCATGCAGAAAACCCCAGAGCTTTCAAAAACATTAGGAAGACCCGCCTTGGTGTTATGCGGCGGTCAAACCCAAAGGCTTGGGTGACCAGGAATTTATTCTCTGAGAGGGTGATTGAGGTGTTTGGACCCAGTGTTCAGGAATACCTCAGGGAGAATAATCTTCCACTGAAAGCTTTGTTGGTGATGGACAATGCACCAGCCCATCCTCCTAATTTGATGGTTGAATTGCCAGAGGAGTTCAACTTCATCACTGTGCACTTCTTGCCACCCAACACAACACCTCTCATCCAGCCCATGGATCAACAGGTAATTTCTAACTTTAAGAAGCTGTACACAAAGGCACTGTTTAGAAAATGTTTTGCATCCACTTCTTCCTGTGATGTTAGCTTGAAGGAATTTTGGAAGAGTCACTTCAATATAGCAGACGCTGTTTTTTTAATTACCTCAGCCTGGAAAGAGGTTACTGTGAGGTGTCTGTGCTGCTTGGAGGCCATTGTGGCCTGAATGTGTCCTTCAAAGAGACTTTGAAGGCTTCGAAGAGTTAGAAGAAGAGGCTGTTGTTCATGAAATTGTGTCTCTGGGCAATTCCATGGGCCTGGAAGTGGATGATGATGATGATGTTGAAGAGTTGGTGGAAGAGCACAGTAAGGAACTGTCCACTGAGGAGCTGCTTGAGCTTCACAAAGAACAAAACGAGACACTGAAGCGGAGCTTAACTTCTGAGGAGTCAGGGGAGGAGGAGGACAAGGAGGAAAGCCGCATCATTCCAGCCAAAGATCTCAAGGATGTGTTCTTTTGCTGGAGCAAACTGTCCAAACTTGCTGAGGATTATCATCCTGATGTTGGTTCTGTGCAAAAGGCCATCAGTGTTTAATGACAATGTTATGAACTACTTTTGGAAGGTCCAGAAATCAAGGTTGAAGCAGCCAACCCTGGGTTCCTTCTTTACAAAGGTAACAAAAGAACCTACAGACAAAGTGCCTGTAAGACAGTCACCAAAGAGGGCTAGGAAGGATGACTCCTCTCCTTCCACCTCTTCTCCATAATTCTCTCCTCCCCCCTCCCCCTCTGCCTCTTGTCCTGCATGCTGAACAACACTAAGGTAAGATAAAGTACCGTTTTTTTACATTTTCCACATAATTTTTTCAGTGTTACGTGGTTGTATTTTGGGGCCTGTAACGGATTAATCCTATAACGAACGAATGCTATAACGAACGAGGTTCTAGAACCAATTAGATTCGTTATAGCATACCCCACTATACGTATTTTCGAGTCCCGACGTTAGTGATCGCGTTGTGTACTGACGAAATGTAAAGTTGGCTCCACTCCTGCATTCAACACTTAGCATTGCCAATCCTCCCTCTGCCTAAGGTGTGAACCCTGAAGTGTGAATTTGAAGCATTCAATATTGAGCAGGAAGGGTGTGTCGGGGTAGGTGTCTTTCTGTGGGGAAAGGAGATGGGATATTGGGGGTGAGGATAGAGCGCATATATTAGTTGGGAGAATTTATTTGTAGGATAATGCTTTGACAATACTGACAGGGTTTCCTTAGCTGAGCGTAATCATCTAGCACTAGCCAGATGAAAATACAAAAGTTGCCATAGAATGAGAGAGGGGATGAATTCATGTTCTAAGAAAGTTGTTCCTTTACAAAAGGGGGCATTTATGAGCAAATGGATTATGAACATGTTTGAATCTAAATCTTGTAGAAGCAGTGAAGTTTTGTTTAACTCTTTGACTACGAGAGTGAACTTCCCCAGCTGAATAAAATTGTCTGGGGGTGACCTGAATAAAATAGATCAGTAGACATATTAATGAAGTGATTAATTAGCAATCAAATAAATCAGGAAGTGAACACAAAATTATGGTATCCATAAAATTTAGTATCCTACAATGTGCAGGAAAAGATACTAAATAAACCTTACCTAATTATAAATTAAACTAAACATTATATTTGGTTTGGTAAATTACAGAAAATAAGAACTTACTAGCTTTGCTTTCCACATAGTAAAAGGCACACTTCTCCTCCTTTATGAGATCCAAAACACCAAAAGATGTGTCCATAGGATCAATGCCATCTTGACAAATAAGATCCATTCTCATATTCTCCTCTTCATTTGATAAAGGATCATAAAACCAATTTGTAGTGGGGCATTTTTCCACACACACCTGCATAGTTAAATATACAGTTAATATATTTACAAAATTAATCAGAAATCTAGTGTACAGTATTTCTTATTTTCTATTTAAGGTAGGCATGGAAAATAATACCTGTGGCTGGAAAAGTAATCCTCCTATTACTTTGGTAAACTATCTCCAACTATACTGGTTTTGCATGAAAGATGACAACCTGTATTATATTAAATGATATGAAAGCAATATTTGTAAATGAGAACATACCGTTTTGCATGAAAATAAAATGTTGCAGGCTAAACTGAAAAAACTGGATAGATTTTTTGATTGATGTTTATGCAAAAGATTCCCATTCCTTGGAAACAATTTGTTTCAGCATACTGTATGTGCACAATATGTATGAAGTGGAATTTTCCCAAGTTGTAGTCCCATGCAAGGCCAATGGAAGAACATTTAACACCTATAAGGCCAACTTGGGAAAAATATTCAAATTCACGAGAAAAATGGTGGAACCTAAACAGTTGTACATTTATTTCACACTCCCTTAAAGCACGAACTACAGATAATAACAAAAGTAGTTTGAAGATTAACACCGTATATATATATATATATATATATATATATATATATATATATATATATATATATATATATATATATATATATATATATATATATATATATATATATATATATATATAAATATATATATATATATATATATATATATATGTATATATATATATGTATATATATATATATATATATATATATATATATATATATATATATATATATATATATATATATATATATATATATATATATATATATGTATATATATATATATGTATATATATATATATATGTATATATATATATATGTATATATATATACACACACACACACACACACACAGTAGTACCCCGATTTATGCGGTCAATTGAACCCACAAGGTACCGTGAAAACTGCGTAAAGTGAACAACAGAACATATGGGATTAATTCCAATAGAGAATGGCCCGACCCCCAAACTCCACATTTTCCGACACAATACCTAGGTTGTAGTAAAAATAACATCTAAATTTTATGATGGTATGCTCACACAATTAATATTTAAGAGAAATACAGTCGCCAGGTTAATGTCCATTCAAATAATGGACTCAAATCCCTCCCCCTCTTCCCAGCTCACTGGCCCCTACCTCTCTGAGAAATGTTTGGGTGAAACACTAGATTTTAACATTTAGTAATAAATAATACCTCAGACTAAAGTTAGGATAATATAATTGACATTTCTGGACTCCTTGCAGGTCAGGGAATATTTTGAATGTAAACTTCATATATTTTGCACAAAAGATAAAATACTTGCTTTGTGTAAACCAAATTATTACATTAGATCTAAAATTTGTATGTCTAATGTAAAATCCATGATGTTTTTATTCAAAATGATCATCATATTGTAAGAATTCCAGCAATGTAAATTATATTCTCGCCGGGTAATTTGTATGAATTTTAGGAGCTAAATAAAAAAAAAAAATTACACTTCACCCGTATATGAGTAGATGCACCGCGGAAAGTGAAAGTCCGGTTCTAAAGAGGTACCGCATAAATGAGAAATCGCGGAAAGTGAAACCGTGTAAAGCGGGGTAATACTGTATATACAGTAATACCCCGCTTAACACGGTTTCGCTTTGCGCGATTTCACGTATACGCGGTGCCTCGCCAGAGCTGAACTTTCACTTAACGCGGGTTTTTTCCACGTATACGAGCAGAGTGTCCGGCTCGAGAGCTATTTTAAGATTCGCCCCACCCCCTACCCGCTACCTGCCTGACTGCCTGCCTGCCTGGAATTCTTACAATATGATGATCATTTTGAATATAAACATCATAGATTTTGCATTAGACATACAAATTTTAGATATAATGTTTACTCTGAGTAAATATGTTATTTTTTGTGCAAAATATGACATTTGTATTCAAAATATTCCTGGTCTTACAAGGAATCCAGCAATGTCAATTATATTATCCTAACTTTAGTTTGAGGTAATATTTATTACTAAAAAGGTAAATATTCTGGTTTTCCCACACATCTGGTAGGGAGGGAGGGACCGACCGACTATCTGTTACCGTGTGAAGAATATTTTTTTTTTATTAACTGAAGATATTTGTTTTAACTCATAAAATTCATACAAATTACCCGGTCAGAATATAATTTACATTGCTGGAATTCTTATAATATGATGATCATTTTGAATATAAACATCATAGATTTTGCATTAGACATGCAAATTTTAGATGTAATGTTTACTCTCAGTAAATATGTTATCTTTTGTGCAAAATATATGACATTTATAATCAAAATATTCCTGGTCTTACAAGGAATCCAGCAATGTCAATTATATTATCCTAACTTTAATCTGAGGTATTATTTAATACTAAATGTTAAAATTTAGTTTTTTCACCCAACATCTCTTGAAGGGAGGATTGGTAGGGGGTGGGGGGGAGGGTTGGGACGGACTGCGTGGTTGGAACAGGGGGGAGGCAAGGTGGGGTACTTTGATTGACAGATAGTGTCGTGAAGAATATTTCTTTTTTTTATTAACTGAAGATATTTGCTTTAGCTCATAAAATTCATACAAATTACCCAGTCAGAATATAATTTACATTGCTGGAATTCTTACAATTTGGTGATCATTTTGAATATAAACATCATAGATTTTGCATTAGACATACAAATTTTAGCTATAATGTTTACTCTGAGTAAATATGTTATCTTTTGTGCAAAATATAAGACATTTATATTCAAAATATTCCTGGTCTTACAAGGAATCCAGCAATGTCAATTGTATTATCCTAACTTTAGTTTGAGGTACTATTTATTAAAATTTAGTGGTTGTCCACCCAAAATTTCTCAGAGAGGGAAGAGCCAGCAGTGTAGTGTGAGAAGAGGGGGAGGGAGTTGAGTCCATTATTTGAATGGACATTAACTTGGCGACTGTATTTCTCTATTTCTCTTTAGTATTAATTGTGTGCATGTACCATCATAAAATTAAGATGTTATTTTTACTACAACATAGGTATTGTGTCGGAAAAAGTGGAGTTTGGGGGTCGGGCCAGTTTCTATTGGAATTAATCCCATATGTTCTGTTGTTCACTTAGCGCGGTTTTCACTTAACACGGTACCCTGTGGGTTTTATTGACCGCGTTAAGCGGAGTACTACTGTATATATATATATATATACAGAGAGAGGTCCCTGGGACAGTTGTAAGTCGGAAATGTACGTTAGTCGGAAAACATGCTATATGCAAGTTGTACTTACAGAACAAAATGTTCAAAATTCTACTATATCATAGTTTGAGTCCTTAAATACATCTAAAATCACTTAATTTAAGAGAAAAGAAGAAATAGAATGACAAAATATAGTAGAGGAAAGTAAAAAATTAGTCATCAGGGAAATAAAATACAGTTGTACCCCACTTAACGCGGTCAATAAAACCCAGAGGGTACCATGTTAAGTGAAAACCGCGCTAAGTGAACAACAGAACATATGGGATTAATTCCAATAGAAACTGGCCCATCCCCAAACTCCACATTTTCCGACACAATACCTATGTTCTAGTAAAAATAACATCTTAATTTTATGATGGTACATGCACACAATTAATACTTAAGAGAAATAGAGAAATACAGTCGCCAAGTTAATGTCCATTCAAATAATGGACTCAACTCCCTCCCCCTCTTCTCACACTACACTGCTGGCTCTTCCCTCTCTGAGAAATTTTTGGGGGAAAACCACTAAATTTTAATAAATAATACCTCAAACTAAAGTTAGGATAATACAATTGACATTGCTGGATTCCTTGTAAGACCAGGAATATTTTGAATACAAATGTCATATATTTTGCACAAAAATAACATATTTACTCAGAATAAACTTTATATCTAAAATTTGTATGTCTAATGCAAAATCTATGATGTTTATATTCAAAATGATCACCAAATTGTAAGAATTCCAGCAATGTAAATTATATTCTGGCCAGGTAATTTGTATGAATTTTATGAGCTAAAACAAATATCTTCAGTTAATAAAAAAAAAATATATTCTTCACAACACTATCTGTCAATCAAAGTACCCCACCTTGCCTTCCCCCCTCTTCCAACCGCGCGGTCAGTCCCAACCCTCCCCCCCACCCCCCACCAATCCTCCCTTCAAGAGTTTTTAACATTTAGTATTAAATAATACCTCAGATTAAAGTTAGGATAATATAATTGACATTGCTGGATTCCTTGTAAGACCAGGAATATTTTGAATATAAATGTCATATATTTTGCACAAAAGATAACATATTTACTCAAGAGTAAACATTACATCTAAAATTTGTATGTCTAATGCAAAGTCTATGATGTTTATATTCAAAATGATCATCAAATTATAAGAATTCCAGCAATGTAAATTATATTCTGACCGGGTAATTTGTATGAATTTTATGAGCTAAAACAAATATCTTCAGTTAATAAAAAAAAAATATATTCTTCACTGTAACAGATGGTCGGTCGGTCCCTCCCTCCCCCCCACCCCCCGTCTCACCAGATGTGTGGGAAAACCAGAATATTTACCTTTTAGTAATAAATAATACCTCAAACTAAAGTTAGGATAATATAATTGACATTGCTGGATTCCTTGAAAGCCCAGGAATATTTTGAATACAAATGTCATATATTTTGCACAAAAAATAACATATTTACTCAGAATAAACTATTATATCTAAAATTTGTATGTCTAATGCAAAATCTATGATGTTTATATTCAAAATGATCATCATATTGTAAGAATTCCAGCAATGTAAATTATATTCTGGCTGGGTAATTTGTATGAATTTTATGAGCTAAAACAGGCAGTCAGGCAGGGTGGCGGGTGGGGCGAATCTAAAAATAGCTCTCGAGCCGGACACTCACCGCATATATGTGGAAAAAACCCGCGTTAAGTGAAAGTTCAGCTCTGGCGAGGCACCGCGTATATGGTAAAACGCGCTAAG